TGAAATATAAAAAATTAAAATTATTGAGTTTATACAATGCAATATATAAAAACATACTTATAACCTTGGGGGTAGTAAAGGTTTTCTTAAACTATATACAAAACACATGCCATAAAAAATAGTGAAAAATCTGGTGATATTAAATTAAACCTTCTTTTCACAAAAATACAACATATGAAGAGTGAAATTCAAACATGAGACATAACGGACAGAAGATTAGAACCCAGGGTGCACACACACAGACACACACAGATCAAGAAAACCCAATTGAAAATGAATGAAATACCTAAGTCAGCAATTCATAATGAAAACGTGATGATAAATAAACCTAGGAAAATGTGCTCAACCTCATAAGGAAGCAGAAAAATATACATTTAAACTAGAATGAAGTACCATTTCACACCCCTCAGTCTGGACGACATAAAAATGTCTGATAATACCAAATATTGCCGCACTGTAGATCAAAGAAAACACTCATAAATACTAATAGAAATGTCAATGTTTGAAAAACAATTTAATATTGAATATGTTATACTCTGAAATCCAGAAATCCACTTTTAGGTGGTACATAAATTAGGAAAATTCTTACGTATCTACATAAGGAGTAGAAACAAACACGTTCATAACAGCATTCATTATAATAGTAAACTGTCACTGGAAAGTGACTGTGATGAATTCCTACAGTTAATTATCATGAGACAGGAAAAATTAGTCCATCCAAGAGACAACATGAAGGTGGGTCATTCTCACAAACATAATCGTGATTTTTTTTTTTTAAATCAAAGCAGCCTGGCACGGTGGCTCACACCTGTAATCCTAGCACTCTGGGAGGCCTAGGCAGTGGATAGCCTGAGCTCAGCTCAAGACCAGCCTGAGCAAGAATGAGACCCCTGTCTACTAAAAATGGAAAAATTAGCCAGGCATTGTGACAGGCTGCTGTATTCCCAGCTACTCTAGAGGCTGAGCCAAGAGGATCACTTGAGCCCAAGAGTCTGAGGTTGCTGTGAACTAGGATGCCACAAGTACTCAACTCAGGGCATAGAGTGAGACTCTGTCAAAAATAAATACATACATAAATAAAAAGCAAGTTGCTAACTAATACATACTGTATTCTATCAATTAGTAAGCTTAAACTATGCAAACTACACAAAAAATATTGTTAGCAGTAAAAGTGCACAAAATTTATGAATGTGGAGATGTATGAATAAATATAGAATTTAGGAATGAGGTTACCTTGGGGAGAGGTACACAGAGATAGAGAGATGAGTGTCAATCACATCTATAATGTTCTCTTTCTCAAGGTGCACTATAGGTACATCTGTCTTCATTGTACCTTAAAAAAAGATCTTAAACATGAAAATTTACATTAAAAATTGAAAAAGATAATTATCCAAATAAATGAAAATCCACAATGAAGGGGCATGCTTTTTATGTAGGACAGATTGTTAATAAGAGTGATAAATTCACAATAAAAGTCATTAACAAATTCACTTGAATACAAATCTTGATAACCTACTGCTCCTTCCTATTCAGAACCTCCCCCCTATTTTTCCAAAGCCAGTTACTACAAACCAGCACTCTCTATCCTCACAGAATTCCCCCTTGTATGGATTCCGTCCTACTAAGCTACCAGTTCTGAGCTTTTCAGATGTGTATTTTAGTACATCAAAATTTAATGTTTTCTGTTCCTCAAATTACTAAAATGTAATTAGCCAGTTCTGTTAAGATAGTAAAAACTCACAAACCTGAAAGTCCTATCCTTTCTATAAGTTTTATTTTAATCAGGACATACCAAAGTGAATATCTTTTAAAACAAGGTTGACATTTCATGCATCCAAAGAGAAATATTAGAAAGATATTTGGCACCTTATTATTTAATATCACCATGTCTTTTATTTTCAAATAAGATTAGTCCTGCTTATCCTAAGAACAGATTATCATTTCAAAGATTTTAGTAAAGCCAAAGGGATTGATTGACAGTTTACACAATTTTATAGTCTTGATGTCTACCCATTTATAGATGCAATAATATGAACAGCTAATCTGTTTAACTGCCTTGATCACATTTTTGAAATCGTGGTTGTTTTGGCGTTGGACCTTTGCTTGGACAACACCCAATACTTAGCAGTCATCTTTCTCTGATTTTCAGACAGTCATCTGCATTTCCAGAGGGTTGATGACAGGGTAACAGAGTTTAAAGGCAGCGTCTACATTTGCATTTCAATAGTTCCAAATTCTATGAGACCACAGAAATCTTTTCAATATGTCTCATTGTTTAAATAGTGAAGGTGGCCAAATTGTGTTCAAGATTCATAAACCTCGGGGAGAGGGGGAGGGAATGGGCCATTGTATCCAAAGTCTATTCTAAAGAGGCGGCCTTTCTCATTTCCCATCCTTTATGCTCACATGGTATGTATTAAAACCCACAGCCACCACATCACATCTGAACATACTGAAAATCTTTTATCCATTTGGATCTTTATGGACCAAAATCAAGATTCTAGGACAAGATTAAGAGGAAAGGAGCGCATGTTGTGTGAAATATATTATACAGTACCATCAATTTTGGGGTGCCAAAAAGTAACCATTTCCCTATTGGAAAGGAACACGCTTGTTTTCACTTAAGAAAATAGTCGCATTTAACACACAGGAGGTGAATTCACTGATAGGTATGCTGCCTGTTTGCAAGAATCTGCAGTTACTCATAATCGGTTATGAATTTCAACAGAAAATGTTATGTCCAATATTTTGATACATGACAAGGAATTCTGGAGTTGAAATAGGAGATTCTGGGTTCAAGGCAACTGGCTACCTTTCTGAGACAAGTCTTGGTACCCATCATCCACATCATGTCAAGTGGGGATAAGACTGTTTCCCCCAGGTAGATTTAGATAAGGGCTAAAAGAAAGACTATGTGTGAAAGTTCTTTGCAAAATGTACCCAGTATTCATAATTGGAAACCAAAGGATTGCTATAAATTTATCACTGTTGTGTCACATTATTTTTAATAGATTTTTAATCTGTACCTAAAAGTTTTCACATTACTTCACGCAGCTGAGACGTCACAATGTGACAAATTCACAAACTTTTTTCCATAAGTGATGGAAAACATAGAGCTTAGCAGAGGCCAATTCCAAAACCTCTTTTAACCTCCCCCCATTTCCTTCTCATTTTCAGAACACTTTCTCTGCACTGTTTTGTAACACTTAAAAAATGATCTGGCTTTTCAAATCACACTTTCACTCCTTTTCTTCTTCTCCACGAAGGTGAGAAGGACCCATGAATAGGAAACACGGGGAAGTTGTCCTTAAAATCAGCCCCTTGTTTGGGGTAAGGTGGCAACAACCTTCCTCTTCAGCGCAGTGCTCCGGTTAGTGAAGTCTCCTCTCAGACCAGCTGTAGCAGCCAGAAAGGATGATTTTTGACCTTGAAGACTTCAGCGTTCCAAATCATCAGGTGTGTTTTCTTGTTAATAGACTCTCCGTTTACCTCCTTCTAGCTCAGCATTGCGTCTGGACGCTGCTGGTACAGTCCTCCTGTATTTGCAACCAGAGAAATGAAGGGAATATTCTTTCTCTCCTGTGTTAAAGAAACAGAAAAAAAAAAAATACTGTAGCCTGTATTTCACAAAAGGACGATTCCAAGATAAGAAATCCATTTTTAAAGAGGGAATTCATTAGATGCGTGTAGAGAATAAAAGTCTAAATATAGGAGGCGCGTGGTCAGCACGGTCTTTGACATGCTGCTGGGCGAGTTCGAGTGTGAGCAGAGGCGTCTGCGCGCGCCTTTATGTAAGGGGGGCACACGCGTGTGCGGGGCGCGGAGATGCGTTCTCGGCAGGAGGAGGGGCAGCGGGCAGATGCAGGGAAGTTGGGAAACCCCTTCTCTTCACCATCACTCCCCGGGCAGCCACCGCGCCGCAGAATGGGAAGAAGGGGACGTGACCGCAGGCACAGGGGTCGCTGCCCTGACTGACGTGCAGCCCCCGGACCCCCAGTGCAGAGATTTCTCTCCCCGGCAGCCAACAACCTGCAGCAGGCAAGGCGGGCGGGGGAGGAAACCCCGAGCAGCGCTCCCGCCGCCTCTTTGCTGAGATAGCAGGAGCGGCAGCCTGCGGAGAGGCGAGCGCCGCGTCACCGCGCCGGTGCGGGCAGGGGCGC